CGAGGGCTCCTCCCCAGGCCTCTGTGCGGCCGCTCCCTTGCCAGCTCTTCCAGGCTCTGTCACCCGGCCCGCCCAGCACCCTACTTCAGGCAGCACCCCGACCCCGACCCTGGCACTCTGCCCCGCATGGTTTTCCTTCACAGCGGACCCGTCCGGAGGCTCTGCATTTTACCTTTCCTTACCTGTGGTCCTGCTTCACTGCAGCGCAAGCGCCGTAGCAGCAGGTGCTGTGTATCTTGTCGTGTTTTCACTGGCCGTGGGTCTAGAATCGCGCCTGGCACGGAAGTAGGCTCTCAATGAATGTTAATTGAACGAACAAAACAGTATCTGTCCAGCTTGATTCCACCCCATGGGCACAGACAGGAGAGTGGTGAGGCCTGGGAGGGGCCGGTGCGGGGTGGAGGAAGTCAATGGGGAAAACAAAACCCACAAACAAAGGGGACATCCGTCCTGCTTTCAACAATAAAGGTAACTTAAAAATTAAATTAAATGAAGGGAAAAGCACAAAGAATCTTTTTATTTTTTAAATATATTTTTATTGATATCAGAGAGGAACGGAGAGGGAGAGAGAGATGGAAACATCAGTGATGAGAAGGAATCATTGATTGGCTACCTCCTGCACACCCCTACTGGGGATCGAGCCCGAACCCAGGCATGTGCCCTGACCGGGTATTGAACCATGACCTCCAGGTCATAGGTGAATGCTCACCCACTGAGCCACACCAGCTGGGCCAAAGAATCTTTTCATATGTTTATATGGAAAGGTGTGCAAAATGCATTGCTAAATAAAAGAGAAACGTAAGTGAGTGTGCTGTGCCACCATTTCTAAAGGAAATGGAAATGAGTGAGCGTGACTGCGGGCTCACATGTGGGCACAGATGTCCAGGCTGCGCCAGACAACACCGGCTTCCTGCCGGGGGGCAGATTTGCCGCTGCACCTTTTATAACAGCGTTAACGTTTGTACCAAGGAAATACTACACCTATTCAGAAAGTGATTTTTTTAAAGCTTAGCATTATAAACTTATAGTGCAGAGTGAAATACTATACAAAAAGTTTCTAAAAAGAAAACAATTACTCCATGATGAGTTAATGCATGAATATGTAACTAGAGCCATTTACAATCACACAGTCATACATTACTCCTAAATGGTTAGCTATGTATTACAATGTGAATAATTTGCATTACAAGTGGAGCAAAAATACACTAGTAAAATGCTTCCTAGGTAAAATAATCAAGAATGTTATTGATCCTAAAAGTTTGATAAAGTGGAAAATAAGATGTTTATATATCAAACATTTTAACTTAAAATATTACAAATACACAATCATTCCCAAGCTGCAAACTTCTGTGAGTCCACTAACTTGAGTTTCATCTTATATTTCCTACATAAGCCACAAAACATACCCATGATTTTAGCTCTGTTTCTTTAAAATGGACACCTCAGTCCTCCTAAATGTTACAGCTTTCCCTCTGAAACTTTTACAGTCACTTGCTTTCTTCATCAGAAATTTGGGGGCGATTTTCCTTTGAGACATTCCAAAGCCTTCAACTTTGTTCTCATAGAAACACGGCTTTCTTCCCACGTTTTTCATCAGCCTCTATAATATTTAATTAGACTCTTTAATTACAGTAACGTGCGAAACTGGCAGAAACAGACCCGTTTCGGATGGACACAGCAGCTTCTGGGAGCAGGGCTGCGCGAGGGGCCTCACCGCTAGCGAAGTGCAGCGATGAACAGGGTGTGGCGCTTGGCTTTGAGGTGGGGGAGCCGTGGGCTGGAGCTGGGGAAGGCCCACAGTGTTGAGAGGATCTGTCCTTCTCAGGACGGGACTAGGGGACAGGCCTATGTATTCTCTAAAGACATCTGTGTATAATACATTTCATCTCTTTAAAAAGAAGAGCAGCCTGCATCCCAGGCATCGGCAGGCATCTCAGTCTCTGCAGGGCCGCGAGGGT